CGTCAGCTGTCTCAGGAGTCCCATGAGCCAACCAGGCTCGAAAGGACTCCTTCTTCAGCTTGATGGCAGCCCTTACTTCCGGTGTCCACCACCGGGTTCGGGGATTGCCACCACGACAGGCACCGGAGACCTTACGGCCACAGCTCCGAATGGCCGCATCGACAATGGAGGTGGAGAATGCGGTCCACTCGGACTCGATATCTCCAACCTCCCCCGGGATCTGGTCAAAGCTCTCTTCAAGTACTTTAAAACAGTCAAGTTAAAATTTTATTTATGTAGCCTAATATTGCAAATTTCTCCTGAGATTTTACAGTCTGTACAGCACACAACACCCGAGACCCTTAAATCTTAAAAAAAAAAAAAAAAAAAAAAAAAAAAAAAAAACCTCCCTTTAAAAAGGCCCAGAGCAGAGGAAGGGATTCCTTTTTCAGGACAGACAGATGTGCAACAGATATTATTTGTTATTTGTACAGAATGGAGCAACACTGTAGACTAAAAGTGTGGAAGCTGGAGTGGTAGGTTGACACAGAGACACACAGCATACATTACATGGTATGAACTGGTTTTAATAGATCGATTGAAACTGAGACTGATCTGGCAGCCAGAGAGTGGTAACAGGTAGAGCCCTGCACAGGTAAAAATAGTCTAAATGCAGGCAGGTAGCGAGTGAAATAAATGAAATTTAAATAAATAAATAAATAAAGGTGCAGCTTCTTTTAAACCTCTAATCCAGCATAATTTTTAACAAGCCTAAATAACCAATACATTTATTGTGAAGGCTTATGGTACAACCTTTGACCCCTAAACTCACATCTGGCTAATAGGATATCGCTCAAATATCAAAGTAGGCTAGGTGTCTGTGTGTCAAACTGGAGAACCTAAAAGTGAAAATAGCTAGTGGCCAATACAAAACAGTTGTTGTTATTGTTATTGTTGTTTTACTGCCTTGCTTAAGATTTGATTTATTTATTCTTTCAAGCATGTAAAGACAGTTGATATATCAACACACATAATTTTACACATATCCAACAAATGCTAATCCAATATCAATTTGCTTATACCTAGTACATGCTTGAATGGAGTAGGAAGAAGTCAGACTTATCCAGTCCTACCCCATGACATCATCTTACCATCACTGGTTTGCAAGCAGTATCTCTACATAAATAATTATCTTCTACACCACACAAGTAATATACTAAAAAAATATGACTGTTAGGATCGCTCGACACAAAATGAGCGAGCAGTAAAGAACAGACCCAGGTGGCTCGTAGGTGGCTTTATTAACTATGGTGAAACAAGGGTGCAATACAACATACAACAAACAAGAGTAATGG